CCGGTGTTTCCCAGATCTCCCCCTCAACTTCCAATATGGCTTCATCAAGCAGGATAGCCATCTTAGAGGATTGGGACGTTTGGGGATTCTTAAGGAGGTGATGTTATTTTTCTTTAATCTCTGACAATTGTATCTCTTGAGTAATTGCCACCCTCTTGAACAGCTTCTGAAATTGTTTTAAATCATCAAGGGGTGAGGCATTTCCTGGGATAACTGCTCTGTCAGGTGATGAAGAGGATTGATCGGTAGGAGATATATCAGGTGTTTGTACTTCCACTGCAGTGGGCTGTTCTTGGTCAATGTTGGAGGGAGGAGGTTGAGGAGAGACTGGGTTGTGTTCCAGAATTGATGAAGGTGGAGCAGGGGAATGTTCAAGAGATACATATTTTGACCATGATCAAGATCTGGATGTATAATATGAGGAATGCCTGCATGGCGAACGATGTCTGTGGCGGTCATAATAATGGTGGTGGTCAATATGGTAACAATCAATATAAGAGGGAGAGCACCCATATGTACCAGGTCTTCTGTATTCCCTCCAGTAATTGGATCGTGGAGAAGGGGAGAGAGAATAAGATCTCCTTGGGAGAAGCAACAGAGAGGCTGAGAATTGTCGCTGGAAGCGATGAGAGAGCTCTCTAGGTGGAGTAAAAAATGGCAGGGGGAGCCGGGGGGGAGGGAATGTTGGTGCCGTCAGCGGTGGTGAGGGTGCTGATGACAGCGAAAAAGTCGGTGACGGCAAGCACAGATGGGGCTTCGGCGCCGCTGAGGTTTCGGCACTGCCTTCCTCGGCACCGGAGAGCTCAGTGCCGAAGTCGGTGCCGGCGTCTGTGGTTCGGCACTTATCGGTGCTAGGTGCATATGCGGCACCAGTGAAGATGGCAGTGCTGATGGTTTCAGTGCAAAGTCATCTACATAGTCTACATAAATACTCTGAATTTTGGTCAGCTGCATAATCACACTGTGATCCAGAGGAAGGATTTGTATGTGCACCTAAGAGTGAGCTATAATAGTAGCCTCATTTCCTCAACTAATGAAAATAATGTGTCATTTAGTCAGGTTTTGTTCTCTGTCAGGATTCAGGGTTGTCCTGATGGGTTCCTGACAGGTCCTCTACTCCATCGATGATGATAAACTTTCGGCTGTGTGCATTTGTGCTTCCCTGTGTAACGCGTTAACCCTGTGCACTTGAGTCAACATGACAGACTCCCGAGACAGCCCTCAGAGACCACAAATTAGATAAGGATCGAAATCACCCGAGCAGGTTTATTGCCAGGCAATATACACTATAGCTGTCAGCAAACTGACTCACTGCTGCACCACTACACATGATGTAAGCCATGACAATGGGCTATTTTTATGTTACGGGCCTTTATTCAGGCCTACTGACTCCATGTTACCAACTCTCAACTTGTTACAATATGCAAAAGCAACCTCAATTTATTCAACAACAGAACATTCAAACGACCATGTACATAATCCACTCCCTCTGGATATGTCTAGACAACAAACTTAATTTGAAATAACAGACGTTATTTCAAATTAACTTTACTAGCATCTACTCAGCCAAACCGCTATTTCGAAATAAATTCAAAATAGTGGAGCACTTATTTCGAATTTGGTAAACCTCATTCTACGAGGAATAACGCCAAATTTGAAATAGCTAATTCTAAATAAGTGCTGTACACTTATTTTGAAATAGGGGGCCTCCAGCCTTCCCAGGGTGCCCTGGTAGCCACTCCAGCCTCAAACAAGAACACTCCTCTCCTTCCCCTCCCTCCCTGGAACCATTAAAGGGGTTGACTTTGGCCAGTGCCTGTGTGAGCTCCAAGCCTGCCAGCCCAGAGCCAGCAGTCACTGCTCCTGACCCAGTGGCCCCAAAACCTGAGCCAGCAAGCCACTGGCAGCCAGCTCTCCACCACTCCCCAGGAGCAGTCTGCCAGCTTCCAGTAGCCTGACGGGCCCTCCACCACTCCTCAGGAGCAGGCTGCCAGCTCCCAGGAGCCTGCCAGGGCCTGAAGAAGGGCGCCTTCCTGGTCCAGGGTGAACCTTACTTAGGTTTGGGGGGATGCCCCCAACGTCCATGATCTCTGCACTAGATAGAGGAACATGGCCATCTATAGCAGGATAGCTGCCAGCCTGGCCACCAAAGGGAACATGCGAACCCAGGTTCGCATGAAAATCAAGTTGGTCCGGCAAGCCCCCCCAACCCTGAGCTTCCCGTCCCCCTTCTTCACCTTGCTTCCCCCTTCCACCTCCCTGGTTTCCCCCTCCCCTCTCCCACCCTCTTTCCTCCCTTCTCCACCTCCTTTCTCCAGTCTCACCAGTTTCATCCCCCTGTAGTTTTGTTAAATAAAGAGAGTTTGTTAATAAAAATACATGTATTTTATTTGACATCAGAAAGGGGGGCTGGGAGGGTAAGTGGAACAATGTGGGGGAGGAATGAAGCACAAGCCCCTAGTGGGGCAGACCAGGGAGGCTCTTAGTGCTGCTCAGGGTGGAAACTCTCCCGCAGGGCCTGCTGGATACTGACAGCCCCCTGGTGGACCTCCTGGATGGCAGCCTGCAGAAAGTGCAGCCAGGCTCACAGCAACGCATTCACGAGAAGCACCAGAGTACCCATGGGCAGCTCCGGCAGAGCTGTGGTGTCCTGAGTGAGGGCAACCAGAGCACGCAGAGACACAAATGCTTTGCTGTCCCTCATCGAGGTAGGCAAGCAAGCAGGGAAAGCTGAGAACTGGCTGCCCAGGGTGGGAGTCCTTTTAAGCACAAGCCTCAAATAGCCTCAGACAGCAGCCACACAAATAAACTACTGACCTGATGCCCTGCTGGACCTGGTTCCGGCCGGCCTTCAATGCAATTCAGTGTCCACTCAGTGTGGACACACTATTTTGAAATAGCAAAACGCTATTTCGAAATGCATTTTGTGTGTAGATGTGTTATTTCGAAATAAACTATTTCCAATAAGATATTTCGAAATAACACTGTAGTGCAGACATATTCTTTGTTACTACAAAGATCATCCTCAAATCAACTTAGAGCAGTGTTTCTCAAGCTTTTTTTATAAAGTACCTCTTTAAAAATAATTAAAGTACCCCCAGTACCTACAGTTTTCAGACACACACATTTTCTTTCTAATATTGCAACACATTTGTTTAAACAACTTAATCATACCTGGGCGGGCAATTAAATTTTTGGGTGAAAAAAGTACAAAAATAATAAAGCACTGTAAACCTTTAAAAAAAATTCAGTTTTCTCCAAATTTCAGTTGTGTTGACATACCTCCCAGACTTCTCTCAAGTACACCTAAGGGTACTCATACCACTGGTTGAGAAACACTGACTTAGAAGACCTAGCATTCACTGGATTGGAAGCTAAAAGATTGGTACAAAATTCATAAATAATTCAAACAAACATTACATGTTGGTCCCTGTGACAAAGTGGGGAATGTATTCCCTCTGTTTGCTTTGTTATGTTGTATGTGATTTCTACTGTCCTGTGCTGTTCTGTTGTTACTGTGTGTGCCTCAGCTTCCCTGCCCACTGCATCAGTGCCCAGCTGTGGATAGAAGTTTTAGGTGTGACGAGGGGAGACTGCTCCAGGCTTCTCAGTCCAGCACGTAGGCTCTCTTGTAACCTGAGCCTAGGTGGGAGGAGCAACCAGGTGACATCATGTGCCACCTTTTTGCTGGGGAAGCTGGACAAAGGAGGAGGTGGGGCTGGCTGCAGGGCTGGGGATTGGTTGCTAGGTGTGAGAATACTCTTGGCTGTCTTATGATGCAGGGAGGGGGCCCAGGGCCCCCCTCTCTCAGAATGGATTGTACAGACTGTTCTTGGTTCCTATGTTAGCAACTAGTCGATGCTACATTGGACCCCTGTCAACGAATAAACCTTCTGTTCTATTTGCTGGCTAGGAGTCACATCTGGCTGTGGATGGGGTTCAGGGCCCAGAGACTCCCCACTCCTCCGTGACCTCCAGTCAGCAAAGCAATTAACCACATGCTTCAACATAAGCAGGTAAATCCATCCCTATTCTGCAAAGCACTTAAGCTCAGCCTAACTTTTAGCAGATTGAATAATGTGTTCAAGTGCTTCAGAGAACAAGGATGGAATTACTCATGTTTTAAAGGTAGCGCATAAGTAACTGATTTCTGGATTGTGGCGAATTCTGTAGAGGAGATTACTTTTACTGACTCCACACTTTGTATCTACTGAGTAGTCCTGATAACTTCCAAATTCCCAGCTCCAAATCTCTCTACTTTTCCTGAGAAAAAATGGAATTCCAGTATATATGTACATTTTATTAATCTACTTTTTAAGAGGTCAAATATAATTATAGACTACTATTTTAATATTTTTAAATATGAAATACATGGATTGCTTCTGCAGGAAGGCGCTCTGAAAATAAAATTATAGATGATAACAATGGCAATGATTTTTATTAGTAAAGGCAAATTTGAAGAACCTATGTATGGCCCTTAGTCAGCCCCCAAATTTATGTTAAATCTCAAAGGAGCTTTAATCACTCAGGATGATTAAGATCCCATCAGAACAAGAGTTAGAAGGGAAACTGCATGCAAATCAAACAAACAAATAAACAAACATTGGGACTATGATATTGTTATTAATTTTCTAAAACAGAAATAGTAAGTTAGGAAGTAAGAATGATAAATATATATCACTTGAAATTTTGCTCTATCTTCTTTGGAAATTATGAGTTATGTCTGAGGTTTGGAAGTAGAAAAGGAATTACTCATCTATAATTAAAATGTAATGATGACTCTTTAGCTTTGTTCCACCCTGCTCTACCTGATATAATAAACATCTTCAGGGCACTAACCTCTTTACGTGAATGGTCACCATTTACTTAAATGCTAATTAGGATAAATAATTCAATCAAGGCTAACACTATGCTGAGTTAGCAAAAAAATATTATGCCATAGGTAGGAGGAATCCAGAAAGGAACACCCTAATAACTCTGTATAAAAAGGTAAAGGAGCTGCCTAGCAAAGGCATTCTCTCACTCCACTTTGATTATTTTGTTATATTTTAACAACCCACACCACCACTAAAACGCTATGTCTCTTCGGAGTGCTAGTGGATCCAAAGTTTCCTCATTTTCTCAAGGTGGTGGATCAGTCAGACTATCTTGCATAGGAGGAAGCTTTGGTAATGGGAGTGTAAGTGGTATGACTGGGGGATCTGGTGTTGGATTAGGTAGTGGACTAAGAGGGGGAGCATGTGGTGACTTTGGTGGAGGCTATTGTGGTGGTTTTGGTCATGTATCGGCTGGAGGAGGTTATGGAGATGCCTATTGTAGTAGCTCATTTGGAGGCTTAGGTAGTGGCTATGGTGGAGTCTGTGGTGGGGGCTTTGGTGGAGCTGATTGCAGCTTTCTATCTGGTGGCGAAAAGGAAACCATGCAGAATCTTAATGACCGCCTAGCTAATTACCTGAATAAGGTACGCGCTTTGGAGGAGGCAAATGGTGATCTTGAAATTAAAATCCATCAATGGTATGAGAAACATGCTGCTACTACTGGGTTAGGCTGTCATTGCAACAAATATTACCAGATAATTGAAGATCTTCATAATCAGGTAATAAATAATTTTTTACTTTACAATTGTATGCACCTTTTAACTTGTGTTAAACTATAACTCATAAGCAGTGCATAAGTTATTACTAATTGAGAAATTCTGCTCAATATAATTTCAGACATTATCATTTTCTGTTGACATTAAGAATATTTAAAGTAGTTGACTGTAAGAGGTAATATTTCTACCAACTGATTTCTCTCTCTCTCTCTCTCTCTCTCTCACACTTTTATTACTATAAAAGTATCTACTTGGATGTTAAGTATGTTCAGTTTTTTACTGTTCATGTATGAAAATTAATTTGTTAGCCTTAAAAAAAACCTGAATTTTGAAAAAGAGAAAGAGATCATACCTCTGTGTTTATTCTGCATATAAACAAATTATTTTCAACATCTGTATTTTTCACTTTAATCTCTACTTTTGCCAGTACTGCCTCAAATTAAATGCAAAGCATATTTCATTGGTTAAATACAAATATTCTATTTATCCAGATACTCTCTGCAGCTACTGACAATGCCAATATAGTCCTGCAGGTTGACAATACCAAGCTTGCTGCTGATGACTTCCGACTTAAGTGAGTTCAATAAAAGCCACAGTTAATAATAATGGGGTAGTAACAATTTGAGCCATCTCATGTCATTAGTTTTTAAGCAGAACTCAACATTGTTTTCTGATTACAAACTGATGATACCATATGGACCTTAGACAAGTTTCTCTATACTTTTTAGAAATCGGAAATACTATTCAAAAAATAGCTGCAATATTAAAACTAATTTTAAAACTACAATATGCAATAGTTCTATTTTAATATTAAAAATTATTACAACTTTTTCCAAATCACAAAAAATAGAATATAAAATAAACAGATAATAAAAATGCATTACTCTCATATCTTCTCTAACGAAATTCTGTTTTATTAATATCAAATATTTTTCTTGCAAAGAAAAGTGATTTTTTTCTTTCGGATCTGATTATATTCTCAAAATTCTCCTAACACTTTTAAGGTATGAAAATGAACTATTCCTTCACCAAAGTGTTGAAGCTGACATTAATGGTCTGCGTAGAGTCCTAGATAACCTAACTCTCACCAGATCCAATCTGGAAGCAGAACTTGAAAGCCTGACTGAAGAGCTAATGTATCTTAAGAAGAACCATGAAGAGGTAAGATCTTTGCCTTCCGTTTGTAAATATAGGTCTAAGTTCATCTCCAAATGAAGTCAACTAGAGCCTTTCCATTTAAAAACAGTTTAAAAGTGGAATGGTTTATGGACAATATAATATTTCAAAACATTCTGATTTTGACACACAGTCATTTCAGTTGTTTGATTTTTCTCTGCTTCTGCAGTTGCAATGTATTTAAAATTTAAAATCTTGTCTGCCATTTAACCAGGAACTAAAACAAGCCCAGCATGGTTCTACAGGTGAAGTGAATGTAGAAATGAATGCTGCTCCAGGAGTTGATCTAATGAAGATTCTGAATGACATGAGAACTCAGTATGAAATCCTTGCTCAGCAAAATCGTAGGGAGGCTGAAGAACAGTTTAATAAAACGGTAAAAATATGATTGATAACAATAACAAGTTATCTGAAAGCATATTCAAATCCAAAATTTTGTTTTGCTATATTTTATTATAGCAAATAAAATAGCCTCTATATTTTATTATGAATTTTCCAGAGTCAACAGCTGCAGCAACAGATCTTTCATGATGCTGGTGAAACAGATTCAGCCAGGCATGAGATAAATGAGATCAAACGTACTCTGCAAACCTTGGACATTGAGCTACAATCCCTTCTGGCCCAGGTTTGTAATAGTTGCCATTTAAAGTGGCTTTTAGCATTCAAAATTCTTATTGAAAACCTGTTCAATGTGTCAGATAGCTTCATCCAGTTCAACATTATGTAAGGGCATATATGCCTTTAATATATAATTGTTTCCATTAAAGACAGGTGTTCTGATATCTCACCTATATTTACTCTATGCACAGAGAAACAACTGTACTTCTAAATTAAATACTAATGCTGATAGAGAATGAAGAGTTATGAGTTTGGGTAGTCAGAAATTATAATTCAACTAAACAGATTGTAACCAGTCTCAAAAACACTATATAAAGTTCTGCAACAGACATGGCCTCAAAAGAGGCATTACAGGTCAATATCTCACCTTCATTACATACATGCAATTTATCCACTTTCAGTGGAACTTTTTGGCAAGAATTGAGTATGGAATATGGCCCACATCCTTTTAAGTAAGTATAAAATGACTGAATGTGTGTTTTAGGAGTGCTGAATACAGACTAATCCCTTGGTGCCATATTCAGTGTTTTAATGTTTACAGATAATACATTATTAATATAAATAAGAAATAATGGGATATTAAAATTAATGCAATCCAACATTTTGGCATAAAGTTATGTTCTCTCAATTACTATATTTTTCATTCATTTTAATCTGCCTCTTATGGATTTATTCAGAACGGCAGCTAATAGCCAAATTATTTATCGCCAACGGATCATCAATAAGAACAATTCTGAATTCTTTTTAAATACCAAGATAATCATGTACCAAAGAGATTAAATTCTTATATTACCATATTGACTTCTCATTTTCATAAACTTAACATACAAGTAAAATTGTTTTACATGTATCTCCAACTAATTTAATAGATTTTACTGTGCATTGTTTGAGAAAAGTATTACAAAAGCAGTGTATAGCAATAAAACACCATAAAATTAGTAATATAATACTAGAAAACTATATAGTGAAAAAGAGAGACAAGAATGGAAAAATTATTCCAGAGAAATTATTTTCAACACAACCAGTGGTATTGAAAACTGATAGAGAAAAAAGTTAATGTAATTTTAGTTCTAATTAAGTGTTAATTTTTTCTACTTATCTGGTATAAATTATTTTTACTGTTAAAGAAGACTTTCTTTGTGTGTAATCAAGCATCTCAGCTTCATCAGTAACATGCCATTGTTATGCACTAATAGAAATGCTCCCTTGAAGGCACCTTGACAGAAACTGAAGGAAGCTACAATGTTCAGCTTTCACAAATGCAGCTTCAGATTAGCAACCTGGAGGAACAATTAAAGCAAATTAGATGTGAAATAGAATGCCAGAATGGAGAATATGAACAGCTCTTGGGCATCAAGACTCGCCTAGAGATGGAGATTGAGACCTATAGGCGCCTGCTAAATGGAGAAGGAGGGTAAGTGAATAGGCTTAAGAAAAAAAATCTCTATTTCAGTTAGGTGAATTTATTTTAAAAAACAAAACATTAGAAATAAGAAATAAATATCAATATATCTCTATTCAGGTGATTCCCAAACTTTTCGGCATCATGCCCTTTTTGATTTTTGAAAAACCCTCACGCCCCCCCCAACAGCAAAACTTGTCAAAAAACAAAACAAAAAAGGCCAAACTTTCCAGCATCATGCCCCTTCTCCCCAAAAAGCAAAATTTGCTTTTGCTTTGCACTCCCCCCTGGAATTTCTTCATGCCCCCAGTTTGGGGAACCAATGCTCTATTTAATGTTCTGGGCAAATAGGGATAAAACCTGTAAGGTGCGGATCGTCCCAGTGAAGTTCTCAATTACCTTAAATTACACTGACTTCAGTGGAAACTGAGGGCCCTCATAACCTTACAGGAGTGCTGAATACATTGCAGGACTGACCCCACATTTCAAGTATGGCCTATAAAAAGCATCCTTTTTTTCAAGAGGAGGACTTTTTTCTTCTCTATCAGCACTATAAATCTGATCCTGGAAGTTGATGACTCAGGATGTTCTTAAATCCACTGACATCAATGTGATTGAAGTCATTGAGCGATTAAAAGTTTTGGAATATGTATGTATTTAGTCTAAATAATATTTAATAAGGCGGCCTTTTTTTCCTCAGAAGCACATTTCACTAAATGATCTTCAGATAAAAAAAATATTTGTGAGGCTATATTGTGAGATCAAAAGACCTAATTCAATACACTTTGAAGTTATCTGGAGCCTTGCAATGCCCATTGAACTAGACCTAAGTAAACTGAAAATAAATTGCTGTTTAAGTTCTGTTTCATCCCAGCATCAACAATATTATAAAAATGCACATTATGAGCAGCTGCAAATACCTGAAAATTACTCCAGTAAATAGAATATACACTATAGAAAAATGTCGTTATCAATCAATAATAAAAGAGCAAGTAGTTTGATTTTACATTCATATTTGATAAACTAATTTTATTTGATTCCACAAAAATGTTTTACAGGATAAAGATTAATTATTCACCTTTTGGTTTGACACCTAAAAATTGCAATCATAGTAGTTCCAAGTACTTACAAAACTGATTACTTTTCATGTCAGTTCTGCAAAGATAACTATAACTTGCTTTTAAAACCAATATTCCCATCTACTCTCAGAATAATTACATTTTCTTAGAATTCCAAAGTACTGTAAGGTAACTAATGATTATTAATTATTTTAACAGTGGTTTTAGAACTGAAAGTTACAGCTATCAAGACTCAAGAGTTCAAATGAAAGGTAATTTAATTGTTATTTTTTTATTTTCAAGTATATCTTTGTATGCACAAGGATGTAATAGTGCACTTTTTAAAATTAAATAGGATTACCTCTTTCAGCAAAGAAATCTTCAGAACTTGGTCAAGACTCAAGAGTTCAAATAAAAGGTAATTTAATTGTTTTTTTTTTAAATTTTCAAGTCTATCTTTGTATGCACTACAAGGATGCAATAGTGCACTTTTTAAAATCAAATAGGATTACCTCTGCCAGTAAAGAAATCTGCAGATCTTGGTAACAAAATATTTATTTGCATGAATAGCTACTTATTAAAGATCAGATCAAATGCCGATTGAAGCTAATGGGAAGTTTCCTATTGTCTTCACAGAAGACTGAACTAGGTTTAATGTTTTAATGCAGTGGCCTCCAACATTTTTAAGCACGAGATCACTTTTTTAATTTAAGTGCTATTCAAGATCTATCACAAACTCAAATACCCTGGCCCTGCCTCCTTTGTGCCCCTTCTCTGAGGTCCTGCCCCTGCTCACTCCATAATCCCTATCTCCCACATCCTCCCTCCCTTTCACCAAGCTGGGGCAGAGGATCGGGGTACAGGTTCTAGTCTTGGATTGAGGGATCTGGAGCGTGAGAGGGGCTCTGAGCTGAGCTTGAGGCAGGCAGTTGGGGTACCAGAGGGGGTTCTAGGTGCAGGCTCTGGGAGGGTATTTGGATGCAGGGGTGCTCGGAGCTAGGGCAGGAGCTTGGAGTGCAGAGGGGGTTCATGACTGGGGTAGGGTTTTGAGATATGGGCTCTAGCTGGGCACTGCTAACCTCAGGTGACCCCTGGGTGGTGGTACAGTGGGGCTAAGGCAGGCTCCCCCCTGTCCTGGCCCTGCACCACTTCCAAAAGCAGCTAACAAATTTCATACCAACTTCTGTTGTGCTTCCTCTCTGCTTTGTAGAGACAGGATACAGAGTAGGAGGGGGGCACCTTGACATCAGCACCCCTCCTATCTCTTCCTTGCCCTGCACAGTGAGCAGGAGGCTCCTGAGGGGACAGCTCCAAAGAGATGCACAGATGAAGTGCAGGCACTTGATAGCCACTTGGCCAAACCTGTTAGGATCACCTGTCAGAGGCTCCAAGATCTACCAGTAGATCCTGGTCTACTGGTTGGTGACCACTGTTTTAATCCTACAAAGAGCTGAGTACTTACTGTGAAGTGCTAGGAACCTTCAGCTCCCACTGAGGTCAGTAGAAGACCCAGAAGATTGAGCCAGAAATGGTGAAATAAAATTATTAATACATTATAAAGAAAAAGAAACCTCAAAGCTCTTAATTTACACCTGTCTGTCAAAGTTAACATTTCAACCTCTATTTCATGCTTGTAGGCAACTTTCTGCCATGCTGTGTATTTTGGCATAATGACCAATAAAGGTCCTACATATAAAAATTTATAATTTTAATATTTTGTTTTTAGAACCATCTAAAACTAGAGTGGTTAAGACAATTGTTGAAGAGCTGGTAGATGGCAAAATAGTCTCTTCACAAGTCCAGTCAGTTGAAGAAAGGCCAGCTAAATAAGTAACAAAAATGGAACAAAGGATCCTCCAACATATGCTTACAGTCGGAACTAAAAACAAGGAAGTGTTCTGAACAAATGTAGAATTATAAGTGGCTTATGAGTTTCCCATCTTAAAAATAAAGTTTCTAGTATCTGCTTTTTCTTCTCTGGTGGTTGCCAAAAATACATTCTGTTCGCTTCTGTTTTTCAATAAATGTTTTAACTGTTGCACATTATTTTTGCATTAGTCCTGATTTTTAACTTTGAAAAATCCTCCCTTGTTCAACATGGAAGACCTCCTAAATAAACTGAGGCTTTTCAGTCTTGTGATTTATATGTAAAGCACAAAAGCTATTAGCAATTAATTACTAATTATTATTAAATAGACTATAAAACATACATTCAAATAGGTAGACTGTATGCACATCATAATTTTTTACAATGAGAAACAATAGCAGAGTTAAACTTTCATAGCCTAGAAGCATTTCTTTAAATCATTATGAGTTACGCACATGGGTGATTCTGAACATTCTAATAGGTACCTATCTGCATCTTTAGGCACCAAGGGTACATCTACACTTGCTGCCTAGTTTGAACTAGGGATGTAAATGTAGGCGACCGAAATTGCTAATGATGTGGGGATTTAAATATCCCATACTTCATTAGCATAATCTCGTCTGCGCGCTATTCCGCTTGCCAGGTAATTCGAACCAGGAAGTGCGCACCAGGCCACGTTAGTTCGAATCAAACCCCTTGGTTCAAATTAACGTTACTCTCCAAAAAATGTTTTCTTAGTTCCATAAAAATAAGATACAGTTATGCTAACAGTGGATAAAATTGGCACAGAATAATGTCTACATAAAGATTAAGATTTTGATAGAAACATTCTTTGGACTAACTTGCACTTCAATATTTCTAAAAGTTCTTTTTTCACAAGTAGAATTCAGCAAGTTATATATCAGGGATAAGGAACTTTGTCATGGGCTGGATGTAGTTGGTCAGGGTTAGCCGCTGGCAGACCTCCAGTCAGTTTGTTTACCTGAGTGTCAGCAGACGCAACCGCTCCCAGCTCCCAGTGACTGCTGTTCGCCATTCCTGGCCAACAGGCACTACGGGGATCAGGCCACTGTAGCTCGCATTGGCCAGGAACAGTTTACTGCAGCCACTGGGAATGACTGGTGGATGCTCAAGCAGATCGTAAAACACTAGAACTGGAAGGGACCTCAAGAGGTCATTGAGTCCAGTCCCCTGCCCTCACGGCAGAACCTGGGAAAGCCACGACCTCCCGGATTGTGGCACACAATGCAGTGCGCTGCTGGATTAGCTCGCCCAACAGGAAGGATGGTTTCCTTCACTTCTTGTAGCACCCTGATGTGCTGGCACATGAGGTCCTAGTACACACGCCAGTGCCTGCAGCTTCCATGGACCCAGGTGGGCAGTTGGCTTGATGTGGCTTGACCCTCAGGGACGGATGGTCTGGCTGTGGAGGACAAGAGGGAGAGGTGGTGCTGTGTGGTTCGGCTTTTGGATATGAGAGGAGCCTGAAAAAATACCTCAGATAAACTCTTGTTAACTTTATTATGCCCAAAATAGTAAAGGAAAGCAGTGCAGGTTACACAGATCTATTTCAATACATGGGATAGTTAGTACAGACAATAAAATAACACCTACACCTAGAGCAATACCCAAGATACTCGATTTTAAGGATACTTATTTCTATAAATCACACACACACATATGCACAGTTCCACTGCTAAGACTTTATAATTATCAGATGATTGTTGAATTATTCTCAGATGATTGTCAGACGGGAGGTCGTGGCCTCTTTGTTTCCCCATGCGCAGAGGCGTCCACAATGCATGAGATGGTAGGAACAAACACAGCTTCTAATTGCAGCAAGTAAGACAGTGGGGACCCCTTATTCAATCCCTCCCACTGCTTGTCTTTTCTACACCTACTTTTATAGCAAAGCAAAACTTGATGTGGTCGGTATAGAGAAATCTACCAATTAATTATGTATTGTGTATGCCCTCTTTTGTACACATTCTGCTAATCAAACTACACTATACTCCATTGATAGTTCTATGGCTGCATCAGTGATTTTGCTCATTAGCACTGTTATGTACCAGTACTGGGTTACTCCCAATGCACTTGGCACGGTTTCTCTATACCGATATTGTATTGTTTAATGCACTCCTGACTTTCAAAGGTCTTCCCTTGGCACGGCCCATGTGTTTCTATGCACTAGGCTCAAATCAGGCCTAGTTTGCCTTATTAGAAGCCTCACTTTGGTCAAGGCAGCCATCGTTAGTCCGGTCCATGCAGGGCTGGACACCGCAGACATTATTGTTCTGGTCAAGACAGGGTTGTCCAGGCTTCCCTACAGGTGGTCAGTCACGCATGCACACACTGTCCCTGAGGGCACTGCCCTCCTGTGAGAAGTAAGTAACTGTTCTTGGAACAGGGGACACTGATGTTCCGACAGCAAGCCCACGTGTGGCCTTGCCAGCAGCCCCGGCCTCACAGGGACCCCGAGGTGGCCAAGGGACCATCCTTGTCTGTCCCCTTCCCCGCCCCCCATTGGCCAAGTAGCCCAGGAAAGTGTCCAGCCACAGTGGCTTCCTTAGGTGTGGGAGAGGGGCCTGGAGCGGCCTGGCCCTCCCTGAGCCCCACAAACACACACACATGCCTGCACGTGGCAGCACTGTATGTGGGAACAGGTGGTGCCTTGCATGTGCACACATAGCCGTGTGCTATGTGCGACGTTTGTCGGTCTGTGTGGGGTCATGCGTGCATCCTTGTGCCCAGACTGATTCAGGTAGTGCCTGGCGGGGGGAGAACGGCCCTCCCTGGGGTCAGACATGTGTGAGCAGCAGCCTGTGGCTGTGTCTACACTGGGGCCACTATTCCAGAAAATCAGCCGCTTTTCTGGAATAAGCTGCGAGCTGTCTACACTGGCCCTTGAATTTCCGGAAAAGCAACGACG